TAGCCGAGGCTTGTGCTCTCTTCTGCTCGGCGTGCGAGTCTCTCTCAGCCAAACACTTCCACATCACCAGCTGTAAAAGCTCCAAAAATCTGCAATCTCCTTCTACGACGGAAATGCACATCTAGTACATTAGTAGTATTGACTATGAGGTCCCACCCAGCAACTCAGCCAATTTCTTTGGGTGATACACCTCTTTTTTCTGCAAACGGCCACAAACCAACAATACATTTCCAATACTGATTAAAACAAACAATTAATATTGATCCTTTAAGAAACACAGCACAAAACAAAAAGAAAATACTAACAGTAATCATGATGGGAATCAGTAGACAAGCAGTGTGAAAGTCGAGTACAATTTAAGTTATGAATCATACTCAAATATAAGGAAAAGGAATGCGTTGAGTGAGAAACAGAGAGATTTAAGTCAATTAGATTCAAATGTCTGAAATACAGTGTACAAAACACACCACGCAGGAAAATTATGAGACATTTTTTCTGGTTAAAGCCACCAGATGCAGCTAACTATATTTTTGCCCTTTGTCTGAGTGATATCTGCTACAATATTTGGTCAGTAATTCTACATTTAGAATCAAAAATAAAAATGTAAAAATGTTTTACACAGAACCTGATGTATTAGTATGGAAACAACATTTCTCTCCCTCTAAACTGAGGAAAAGTCATTTGTGTAGTTACAGGATCCCTAAAATCACCAACTGCAACAGTTCTTGATCAAAACAGTATCGTTAACAATCATTCTGCAAATCTGGCCTGTTTAATCGACAAGAATGCCTTGTCTTCTTTAAAAAAAAAAAACAGCTGTAGTGTGGCTTTTAAAGGTTATCCGCTTGTTTCCGTTTTCGGTGCGATCAGTCTGCTGTGTGTGACAACTGTGGAGCGAGTTATTCCACTTTGCTGTACTCCTCCACGTGACCCAGAACTTTCTTCCTCTGGCGCATCATGTGGAAGTAGAGCTGAGGGAATACTGAGGAACACAGACAAAGATGGTCATTAACAGGAACAGAGCTGTTCATTCACAAGACAAGAATGAGCTTCTAGAGATTTCAAAGATACACAAGATCAACCGAGGAATCAGATTATTTACAGATGGAAGACATCAAAACATGATGCATAACCTCTTTGTCTAGGAAGATTAAAACGTACATGGGATGTAGGAGACCATGACGAGGATGAGGAAGGTGTGGTAGTCGAAGGAGAAGTTGTACTTGTTAGGCAAGGTGATGGAGTACAGCCCTGTTTTCTGCACATATGGCAACGCGGCGTAAATGGTCAAAAGTTCCCCTGCCACTCCCATGGGGTACAGCACGATAAAAAACGTGTACCTGTGAATATTTGAAAAACAAAATATGTAAAATATGTCGTTTTCTAGCAAAAAAGGCCAGACAATAAACTGAGAAGCTTCACCTTGCCCATTTGATGAGGTAAGGCAGATGGTTGAGCAGGCTGAAGGTGTAGAAAGAGTAACGGATGATCTCCGTGACGGTCCAGGCCACCACAAAGAGGAGAACACTGTCTTCGCTTTGGACCTGAAACGAGAGAAACTGTAAGTCACACAGGGAAGAGACAGAACTGCTCAGCAAGCAGGAAAATTTAGTCGAGAACCATGCGGTTATGTTTGCTACTGTTCCATCGCAATTCACTGAAGCCACTCGACACACAAAGATGGACTACTGAGAACATCGGAAACGGAAGCACTTCACAAAGCATTCAAAGGCTCCAACTTCACTTCTAGACACATACAGGCTTGAAAGGAGG